CAAAATAAAGCATTTGCTAACGTTTGTTTTTTTTTATTTTAGTAGGTACCTACATGACATAATAGAGTTCGTAGAAAAATTATAGTGTTTTACTCGTCAAAAATCATTTTTTTCGTCACTCGTGAAACAATATACTATTTTTAAAACGGCTTACCATATTTTTAAAAATTTGCCCATCAGTAACTTATGTGGTGGGTATATTGGGTGAATTTTTTTATATTTTTTGAACATAAGATTCACTTTTTTGCTTGCGTAAGATAAACCTTAATTTTATTTAATTTAAAAAAACGTATTATTTATCTTGATAGCAACGTTAATTAAAAAAATACATACTTTAAATTATCAGAATAGTATTTCTGTAAAACCATATAGAAAAGATAACTCTATTATCTGATCTATAAATTCTGTAGCAATGGTTTGTAGAAAATATTGCAGTGTGAGTTGTTTATTTAAGTTATAGTGAAAATGTCATTGATTATACCGGACACTGTTTTAGAAAGTTGCGTGTGTTCTTTATGCAAGAAATTTTTGAGTGTGCAGCCAGTTAAAATTTATCAAAATCAAAAACAAAAACTAAAATGTGGAAGGTGTTCAAAAAAAGATGACAATGGTACTGAATCTCTTTACAATATTATTGCAGCAAATGGAATATTTAAATGCATCAATAGATTCGAGGGCTGCAGAAAAATGTTGCGTCATTATGAAGTGTTAGAGCACGAAAAACAATGTCTTGTTAATACTATTTGTTGTCCAGTTTGTCCTGGATTGTGTAAAGTACGGATATTTTGGATGATTTTTCATTTCAAAAAATGCCATATTGATAAGTATTTAAAAAAGCCATGCTTTACAATAAACAGAGATAAAATCAATAACACTTATCTATTTAGAAAAGATGATAATTTGTTTTTTATATCATACAAGATTCAAGACAATGGAGATATTTACTTAGAAGGATGTAATATAAATCCGTCAAATGTCCAGACAAGTATGAGTTTTTTTCTTCTGACTAAATCTAGTACAGTAGAAGCTAGAAAATTAAATTTAAGTGACAACAAAAACGAGTTTCGGATCAAGAAAAAAGATATTTTGGAAACTACGGATATGAGGATAAAATTTGAAATAGAAACTTTGCCACTTTTTTTCGTCCTATCAAATTCTTCTGTTCCAACCACAGAGCCAGAAAATGAGGTGAAAAGAATTTTAGAAAACTTTCAACGTTTTTCAAAGTTTTACTACACTGAAAGAAATGCGGTCTAATCATTACCAGAATTCTCGTACTCATTATTTAACTGTTGTATACTATATGGGACAGCCAAACGAGTTGTTGCTGATATGGAACAAGAATTGCTAGAACCTTTCATAACCGTTAGTATACGGACTATAGACATAATACAACACAGTTTGTTAAAGGTTACCAATGCATTACTTATTGACAGTGAAATCGTCTTATTATTATTATACAATCGTTCACATAAAAATAAGTGAACTACTCTATGAGAGGTGTAAAAAATTCTTATAGCAGGTATTATAATTTCTTACTTGAGGCTAATTTCGCATGTACTGATAATAAAACTAGCTTATAAAGTTTATAAGCTATTCTCATACGGATTATAATTCACTTATATTCTCATAATATCATAGAATACGACTGTTTATAAAATGTTCTCATAATTATTATGAACTAGTTTTATAGTGGATATGCGATTATACTATATTTAAAAGCTAACCAAAATACGTAAATAATGATAATTTTAAGCATTTGATTTATTGTATAGCTGGCACGGCAATAAACGAATTTAAATAAATTTTTGGTTATTAGAAGATTGTGGGATGAACATTAATTAATTTGCCATAGATTTATCATCAAAAAATTACTGATTGAAATAAAAAAATTGTACATTTGATTATACAATTTTTTTTATAGCAGCCCTTAAATTTTGAAATATAATTGTATAATAACCCACCATCTTCTTATAATTAAAAAATTATTAAAATTTGTTCATTGTTGTGCCTGCTAGACAATAAACTAAAATGCTTAAAATTGTCGTTTTTACTTATTTTGGCCAGCAGAGCCATACATTTTTTTCAATTTCCTTTTATATGGTTTATAAAAAAAAAAACAAAATTTTACTTAAAAACATTTATTTTACAAAAATATAAAAATGCAAAAATATCATTGAAATCAACTTGTCAAGGAGATTATGATCAATTTTAAAAAATAAAAATGAGTGTTGACCAGCAAACAAAAATAAATAATCAGTCTCAAAATAATCTATGTGCCTACATACATATAACAAAAAACTAAACCATTATAATAAATACAGATATGAAAAGTTAAGTTCAGAACAATACTGAAATATAATTTTTTCCATTGTTTACAGTATTTAATGTTACTTGTTTGTGATAATACAATTTAGATTGAAATACAAAGCTGTAAGTTTCATTTAACACCACTTCATATGAGTAAAAATGCTCATAAAACATAATAACTTTTACTTCTTTGTATATAAAACAAACTTCTTTATAGTTGGAATCTACTAAAATGTGACTTATAATTCCAAATTTAGGGCTTCTTGGACCTGAAATATATAATACTTGTCCGTTTTTGTAAACAGTTTTGTGAACCTGAACGGTTTCTGCAAGAACGGAAGATTTGCAAAAATTTTTTAAAATTGATTGAGATTCTAAGGGCATGTTATTTATTTCTGGAAATATATCGTATATATTAAAAAGGGTGCTTTTAGTGCAAGAAATATTAAGGTTAAATCCATCTTTTTGTGCAAATCTATTGCATAATTGTAACTGGTGTTTGATGGCCAAAGTTTTTGATATGTTTTTTCGAGAAGCAACAGTATTAGCTGCTAATTTAGATATTCTATGTTTTGACTCGCACCTAAAGGAAGATAATGATTTAATAGGACCTATATTTTTCAAAATCATTGGATAATGTATAAGATGATGATGTTTTGGTTTAAGTGGTTCATGAAACAATTCCGTATATAATTTGTTATGCTCTTCTACTATCAATTTTAACTCATCACAGGCTTCATTTGAAATTGTATTGGATAATATAATAGTAAGCATTTTTCTTAAAGAAATGAAAAGATTCCAATAGGGATTTCTTTCATCTATGTATTCCCCAATTATTACACCAAAATAAAGAATAAAAGTTTTCATTTCCGACGCGCTCATTTTTAAATTTTTTTTTTTCAGATTATCTTCTGAAAAGAGTGGAGGTACATTAGTATGCTGCGAGCCATATTTAAAATATTTTATTTTAGAATTAATCTCTTCTAAAGTAAACATTTTGTCAATAATTATGAATCGATGTAAAATTAGTACCACATCAAAAACAGCAACACCTTCATAAATGTCATGCATAACGTCAACAAAGAAGTTTTTTGTTACATGGAAAATACTTAATTCATTCCAAATACAAGATTTTTTCAAACCTGTAATAGAACAATTATTTAAACGAATATCAAATTTATAGTTTTCTATGTTACGTAAAGTATCATTATTTTGCACAAACATATATTGTGTTTCATTTCTTGGACTTTTACAAAATCTGCAATTGAATGTTGCCGAAAAACTTTCTACAAAGCCAAGTATAGCATGTACGCCCAAATTATCGCCAGTAATTAAAGTAATTCGAAAAAATAAAGTGTATTGTTGATTCTCGGAATTAATTATAATTCCTTTATGTTCTAAAAACTTTAGTTCCTCCAATAATTTTGAAAATACGCATTTATCTCCAAACTCTTTCAAATCAGCTGAATGAAAAAGTAAAGTCAAAAAAATATTTGACAGAGAACCTTGATACATAGGTGGTAAACAAGGAAGTACTGCATAAATTGCACCTAGTTTATGAATTCCTGCATGCGACCCAAGAGGATTGCCAACTTCATATTCATCGAAAAAAATTGTAAGTGGTAAAATTACATGATTCGTTTTTATTTCAATATTGGTTACAATTTCTTTCCAATAACTGGAAAAAACTAAATTATTACATTGAGATGGATGAGGGATGTTTTTTATAAAATTATTAGTAAATTGAAATACATTCGGAAGCTGAAAAAAGCTTTTCAAAACATGTCTCAACGGTATAAATGCAGCAGTAACTGTTTTATGGTGTGGCTCGCAATTACTACTAGTTTGTTCTATATGTTCACCAATAACAATTTCTTCTGGTGGAATATAGCAACCGCTTTCTTTTAATAATTTTAATCGAAGATGTTCACTATTAAATGTTTCTAAAACATTTGTCAAGACATCAAAACTTTCATCAATGTAATGTTGCACAGGTATATCATGATCTTGGACAATATCAATAACATGTTTTTTTAATTGGTTTAGAGGAGTCAGAAACAAGTCTTTTATATGTTCCATTATGATTTGAACGTTTGCCCGATTTAAAGTATTATTAGCGTACAGACTTGAAAAAAATACCAACATTTTTCTATTCATTATATTTAAAAGATTTTGCAATTTTGCCTTATTATCTTTAATATCACAATCGTTGGTGTCATTACTAGATTCAAGAGATGTATGGGTTTCATTACTTAAAAATGATGTTTCAGATATTTCAAAAGTATTGGAAACATTACTACAATCATTTGAAGTGTTGTTAAGTGAATCTACATGAACTTTTAAATGTTTTCTATACGAGTTTAGACTAGGAAAATGCCTAGTACAAGCATTTTCACCACAATTATATCTATCATCAGGTTTAAGATTGTGGATTAACTTAAAGTGGATTAAAAGATTTTTAATATCTTGAAAAGATAAATAACAAATTGCACAAATAGGCATTTTAAAAAGAAATAAAATATATAAATTCTGTCAAACAAACGTTCTACACAGGTACACTTTCACTGAGCATGCATTTAAAACGAAAAATAAAATTTACTTCAAAAACAAAAACGTTTGCTTGCTGTATGTTGTACAGCATCAAAAAATAATCAGTCTCAATTTACGTACCTATATAGTAACTTAATTGTTTAGTTTAACAACGGACGCAAATCCGCTACAAGAGCAGAGGCGGCTGAGTTACGTTTAGAAGTTTTGAGATTATACAAAATTTCTTCCAAAAATGTCCATACGTGTTCGCTCTCCGCTGGATAGCGCACATCAAATGCGTGGAACGTTTTAAAGAGTACCTCCAGTGCCCTCAAAATTGAATCACATGGATACTTCACCTCATCGATACAAACAAAAATGCGAGTGATATTGTTGAGTTCTCCTAAAATCACCAAAAAAGGCTGCAGAGTTAAGTGGTGAAGCCTCAATTTTTCTGTTCGTCTTTTAACGATGGAATCCAAGTCTGATAAATTCTGAAAACAAAGTTGTACTTAAAAAATTAATAATTCAGAAATACTGGCAAAACAACTCAGAACTAATAAGGGTAAATCTTTCATTTCTTAAATATGGATAAACAGTTAAAACTGATTAAAGACCTTCCCATATTTTAAATTACAATGATTTAAAATAACCATTGTCCTAATACTATTAAAATGAAATATAACTATACCTTTATGTTTAAAACAAAACTGTCTGCTGTTTCAGATCTAGAGGGCCTCCATGTTAATCTTGGTGAGCTGGTACGAATTGTAATAGGAGCAAATAAATATGGCAGTGTAAGAAGTGCTGTAATATATTGATCGACATCAGTGTCGTTGTCCAGAACTTTAATTTTTCTGCTTTTTGCACAAGCTATGATTGCTTGCGATACCCTTGGGAATGTAGTATATATCAGATCAATTTTTTCTGGGTATAATTGATTGAAGTCACTGTCAATCTGAAAAAACAATATTAAAGAAGCAAAAATTCTATACTAAAAAAATTTAAAATTAAGCTACATCCACCATAAATATATTTTATTATTTCTTTTATTAGTTAATTTTTAATTTAACTGATTGCCCTGTCTACAAGTATGAAGATAAAATAAATGACTTGTATGTAGCCCAAACCTCAAGCCTTTGCAATTTTCAATTAAATTTATTTTTAATTAAAGCACGCAATATAGCTAAAAAAAATGATATAGAAATTGGTTTGTTTAAACTTCTATTTGGTTTGGGCTAAAATATCACCAGTCACTAGTTTAGGTACTCTATTTTCTGATAAAACAAACAAGTGATTAAATAATAATAAATTATCTACTAACCAATTCTGCACCAAAATGTAGTTTTAACGCAGGGATTTCATTAAATATATGTGCTATATTAATGTTCTTATTTTTGAACAACTTCCTTCGGAAAGCAAAAGTCCTTTCCCAGTACTGGAGCACCTTGGTATATGGTTCCAGCATACACTTCAAGGCGTTATATAAATCCTGTACTTGGGAATCTTCCTCAATTTCAATCTCTGATGTGGCCTGTTGCTGTGATTGGAAGGAATTATTAATAGTTTTAAGTGCAGATTTTACATTGCAGTATCTGGACCACAATTTTCCCCTTGCAGATTGTTTGGGTTGAATACCAGATTTACGTTGGTATGGAATATAATATATTTCTTTTGATTCGTTGGGGAACAATTGACATATTTCTTCCGCTGCTTCCACGAAAAGATTCAGTGTACAACTAAAAAAATTATAATATATTTTAGCCGTTCTCAAAAATCTAAACTTAATTTTAAACATTCATCCCTTTTCAGAAAAGGGACCTTTAAAATTAGGATAATAAGCAATTGATTTGGTTCGGTTTCATTAATTTTTAGGTATAAGCTATTGACATTATAGAAAATTAAATAACTTGAAATAACTAACAGCTTTATTTTTAATAAGAAGAGTCCAAACAATTTGTTTAACTTAGTGTGTTTTACAATGATAATTACAAAAGTTTATTGAAGATTTTGATAAAGAGTTTTGATCTTTTTTTTAAATTTTTATGAAACTTTCTGTTTCTGAGTTACCCTGTATATAAAAAAACTAGGCATCACAAAAGTGGTATGAAAAGCTTGTGGTTGAATTACAATAGCAAATTTTAAACATAGATATACTTACTCATCACAAATTGTTAAAAAATAATTTATTATTTCTTTACACAGCTTCTGCCTCATGTCATTGTTTAAGTTGTTTTTGTGCAGTAAAACTATTCTTCCATCTACTGACCTTTTCAAAATAGCTTCTAAACCCTAAAAAAACAATATTCACTAATACTACAATATATAGAGCTGTTAGTGTTAATTATCATCCGCAGTTTAGAAATATCTAGTTAGCCACTTATCATTTTTATAAATACTTGTAGAAAGATAATTAAAAAGCATAAACATTCATTTAATAAATACTTTTGCAGTTTCACCTTTGTAGGTCTTCTACTGATATACTTTTAAATTTTCAATTTTTCAAACAGCTGATTGCAACTGTAACAAAAGTAAAACTACAGATTAATTAACTTTTAAGTTACCTCTGGAAAAGCTGGATTCAGTTTTATTTTCTTTCTGGGTTGCTCCTCTGGAACCTGCACAGGCAGCAGAGAACACTGTCCAAAGCTGCTTAATGATGCTGGTTGCGTAGATTCATTAAACAGGTTTTCCAATTCTGTTTCGATTTCAAGATTATCTTCCATTGTTGCATTTGAACTTACTGAAAATTCTGAGTTTGTTGAAACTGATGGAAGTTCATCCACAATAATTGAAACTTGTTTTTCTTGTTCCTTATGTTCTTGAATCCGTTTCAATATTTTTAGACGTGGCCCAATTGTTGGAATTATTTCCTTAATGTTATCCTCAGTTAGGAGGAATAGGGAATCTTCATCAATTCCTTGTTCTAAAATTATTACAAGTTTAATACTTACCTATTTCAAAAAAAATTATTGCAGTGACTATCAAATAGTAAAAATTTGTTGTAATTCTCTAAGATATTCTAGATGGGTACTCATTTGCTTTAAGAATGTCATGAATTTTTTAGAAGAATTTCTATTTTATACAGTATGTCCCCCTAGGTTGAAATCATATGGAACTTTTTTATTATTAATTTTAGGAAAAAAAGTTATTCTTCATAAAAAGTTCTGCATTATCTAAAACCTAGAATAAAGTCATCAAATATCAAATTTTTTCAGTGGTATACAAAGCTTTGTCAAAAAATATGAGTTTTACTCAAGAGTAAAGTACCTTTATTCTTTATACGAGTACGACTGATAAAATTTAATATTTGATGGTTGTATTTTAGGTTTTAGACCATGTCAGACTTTTTATAAGGAACAACTTTTTTTCCTAAAATTAGTAATAAAAAAGCTTTCCTATGCCACCAACTGTCTACGTAAATTGGCGACATATGAAAATCTTTTTATTATTAATATTGGGAAAAAAATGATTCCTTATAAAAAGTCGAGCATGGTCTAAAACCTAAAATACAACCATCAGATATCAAATTTTATCAGTCATATAAAGAATAAAGGTACTTTACGCTTGAGTAAAACTCATATTTTTTGACAAACCTCGTATACCACTGAAAAAATTTGATATTTGATGACTGTATTCTAGGTTTTAGATAATGCAGAACTTTTTATGAAGAATAACTTTTTACTTTCCTATCTGTATACAGATATAAGGAAAGTATAGGAATCATGATTTGTTTCGACCTTGAGTTTTCGATGAATTTTTACGTTTTGAGGTCCCCTGAGTCTGTTTTGACTATTTTCGCGATGATATCTGTATGTGTGTGTGTATGTATCTGTATGCGTGTGTGTATCTGTGTGTGTGTGTGTGTGTGTGTGTGTGTGTGTGTGTGTGTGTGTGTGTGTGTGTGTGTGTGTGTGTATGTGTGTATGTGTGTATGTGTGTATGTGTGTATGTGTGTATGTGTGCATGTGTTTATGTGTGTATGTGTGTATGTGTGTATGTGTGTATGTGTGTATGTGTGTATGTGTGTATGTGTGTATGTGTGTATGTGTGTATGTGTGTATGTGTGTATGTGTGTATGTGTGTATGTGTGTATGTGTGTATGTGTGTATGTGTGTATGTGTGTATGTGTGTATGTGTGTATGTGTGTATGTGTGTATGTGTGTATGTGTGTATGTGTGTATGTGTGTATGTGTGTATGTGTGTATGTGTGTATGTGTGTATGTGTGTATGTGTGTATGTGTGTATGTGTGTATGTGTGTATGTGCGTATGTGCGTATGTGTGTATGTGTGTATGTGTGTATGTGTGTATGTGTGTATGTGTGTATGTGTGTATGTGTGTGTGTGTGTGTGTGTGTGTGTGTGTGTGTGTGTGTGTGTGTGTGTGTGTGTGTGTGTGTGTGTGTGTGTGTGTGTGTGTGTGTGTGTGTGTGTGTGTGTGTGTGTGTGTGTGTGTGTCTGTCTGTGTGTCTGTCTGTGTGTCTGTCTGTGTGTCTGTCTGTGTGTCTGTCTGTGTGTCTGTCTGTGTGTCTGTCTGTGTGTCTGTCTGTGTGTCTGTCTGTGTGTCTGTCTGTGTGTCTGTCTGTGTGTCTGTCTGTGTGTCTGTCTGTGTGTCTGTGTGTCTGTCTGTGTGTGTCTGTCTGTGTGTGTCTGTCTGTGTGTGTCTGTCTGTGTGTGTCTGTCTGTGTGTGTCTGTCTGTGTGTGTCTGTCTGTGTGTGTCTGTCTGTGTGTGTCTGTCTGTGTGTGTCTGTCTGTGTCTGTCTGTGTGTGTCTGTCTGTGTGTGTCTGTCTGTGTGTGTCTGTCTGTGTGTGTCTGTCTGTGTGTGTCTGTCTGTGTGTGTCTGTCTGTGTGTGTCTGTCTGTGTGTGTCTGTCTGTGTGTGTCTGTCTGTGTGTGTCTGTCTGTGTGTGTCTGTCTGTGTGTGTCTGTCTGTGTGTGTCTGTCTGTGTGTGTCTGTCTGTGTGTGTCTGTCTGTGTGTGTGTGTCTGTGTGTATGTGTGTGCGTGTGTCTGTATCCACCATAACTCATGAACCGATACACAGAAAAACACCAAATTTTAAACATAAGCTTTATTCTAGCGTCCAATGAACTGATTAGTTTTTGGGCAGAGTCGGAACATCTGGGGGGTACTTTATGGGTGGTCATTTTTATATTTTATAGAATAAATCTGTAATTTACGTTTGGAGAATAACATTTTTCAAATAAAAGTTACTTCTAATATTACTATCTATAATTTTAGTTTTATACAAAATTTTCCTAAAATGGTCCGTATTCGAGAAATTTGACAAAATAAAAAAAAAAATTTTTATAAAAATTGTTCAAATAAAAGTTGTTTTTAATATAATTCTCTATAATTTTTATGCTATACATAATTTCTCTAAAATGGACCGTATTCGAGATATTTGAGAAAATGTGTAAATTTTGAATTTTGAAGAAAACTCAAAAACGGATAAAGAAAAAAACATTAAATTTTAAATTTAAGTTTTATTTCGGCCTGACGTGAAATGATTAGATTTTGGACAAAGTCGGAACATCTAGGGGGGTACTTTATGGGAGGCCGTTTTTATATTTTATGGAGTATGTCTGTTATTTATGTTTGGAGAAAAAAATTATTGATTCTAAAATGGACCGTAATGAAAAAATTGTAGGAAAAGTGTTAAATTTAAATTTTTCAGTATTTTTGTTTTCAATTAATATCTATAGAAAAATGTTTCGAGGTAGATGTATGTGGAAAATGTATATATTTAGTTTATCCTCTAAACATTTATACAGGTACTGCAATAGGTTATACAAAATAACCGTAAAAAGCCTATAATAACTAGATAGGAAAGTCATGTGTTGGACACATCAGATTTTTTTCCTAAAGTTAATAATAAAAAAGTATATTAAATTTAAATAAATACATATTGATGAATGAGAATTCTGTGGACTTTTAATGTTCTAATTTTATTGTCAAAAAATTATGACCCAATATACAAACGTTTAACATTGGCAGCAACGAATAATATTAAATTATGACTTTTTATTATGCATGTAATTAAAAATACCATATTATCACTGGATAGCAAATAAAAAAAAATCTTGAGGCAGTAATTTCTTAGACTGATGTCTCCACTTTTTAGTGAGACAAAATAAATTTTTATTATTGTACTATTTAACATTTTCATGTGCGTAGAAGAAAATGAAATAACATAAAACTTTCTGTTTTAGCTCAGAAAGTGGTGACGTCAGTGTAAAGAACCGCTGCCTCAATATTAATCAAATATTACACAGGGTGAATTACCATGGACGATGGTCGTCTCCATACATAAAACAGTGCATTCTGTTAATTTTTTGCATGAATACTTTGATCTTCAAAAAAGCTATTATTTAAAATTAGTTTCAATTGTAGAGATTGTCCTATAAAAAAATAACGTATCAAAGTTGATTTTTTAAATGGGACATTCTGTATTTTATAGTAATTTACGATTCTTTATTCAAAAATAGTGTAAATTTGTTCAGAAGTCTTCATCTTTTTTGGTTTGTATGTATGGGTTTAAAGGACGCATGCGCATTCCTAATTAGACCAAGACAAGTACAATCTTGTATGTGAAGTGAATATCGGTGAACAATTAAAACCTTAATAACCGAAACATGAAAACTTAAAAAACCAAAATTAATCTAATTACAACAAATTAGGTATCTAGAATAAGGCAGAATTTAGCCCAAAATTAAATTAGAAATCCAAAAAATTAGAAGCCAAAAGGCGAGACTGTCCTACCGGTACCGAACCAAATCATTGCGAAAATTACATATTAGATACATTCATGTACATAGATACTAATAAAAATTGTGTACATACCTTTAAATACTGGAATCAAGGAGGTTAATTCCCAAGTTTCTAAATAAGCTTCCATGTTACACAAGACACAAGATCACAAGAAAAACACTGGCCCATATACCTAACTAAAACCATCTAAAACTAGCACACGTGCACACACGACGTTAAGACAAAAGACTGCAAATCATAGATAAATTAATATGTAAGATAAATCGTTTACATGCACGGCACTGGTAACACGTTTAGTTCCTCAGCATACTATTTGGAGCCACCATCGCACATTACACAATAGGCTTGACAGTTAAAGGCAGCACAGAAGAAGAAGAAAATAAAAAGAAGAGTGTCTAGTTTTCCCGCGGTTCATTCAAATGTACTTTATTATTTATTTATATTTTTTCGGAATTCATTACTCAAATAAAAACTAATATTTAAATTAAAATATTGTATTTAACATAAATATTAGTTTTTTAAAGTAATAAAACTCCAAAAAATATAAATAAAGAAATATTTATACTAAAATACTTGAAACACAGGTATAGTTTAATCATTTAATACAAGTAAGGTGCATTTAAACGTTTATTACATACATAACATATACTCGATATTACATAACAATAATTATAAGTGAAATTAATAGTAATCTCCTCTCATTCTTGGAAAATGGACCTATTTTCGATGCAGGTGTTATGTGTTTTCTCAGGGCGTTTTCTATAAAAACAAAAAAAAGTGTACATACCTTATTGAACAATTTCTCTTATCAAAATATTGCCAATTCTTATAAGTACAAGTTAATTTTAATTAGTTTATAAACAAAAATTATTTCTCATAGTTCAATAGTTAATTTGAATTTTATTTTAACTGTAAAACAAATCTGTTCTAGTTGATATTTATAACAAATTAGAGTTTAAAATTTCTTTTCATTTTTGACAGACAACAAAAGGATGTCCTTTAAATTCTGTAATAATCATTAAAGTTCGCAAGCCCTCTCACCAAGGCAAGGTTTCAATCTAAGAGGGGGAAAAAGTGAAACTTATTTACTATTAATTATATTGAAATTTATAAAAATACTAGTTAATTTAACAATCAAATTATTTAGTATAGGTT